TTTAATTTGCAGAGAAAACACGCATGAGTGAAAAATTATCTGGTTCATTTTAAAGCTCAAGTGGTATTTAGAGGATTATTTCACGTATCAGAATGCAAAAAATATGGAAATAAATATGTATTAAACGATTTGAACATCTTAACAATCAATACAAATAAATGGTTGCTATCAGGAACCGTTTGTTTGTATCAAAAATTAGCATGACAACCATGTATACAATAACATGGGAGAATTATCGCTGTAATTCTTTCTAGTTAAACAAATGGAAAAGAGAATTTTCGCTGTAATTCTAAAAATCGTCACTTGTCTTATGGAATTTCTAACCCATGAGTGAAATAATCCTCTAAATACCACTCAAGCTTCAAAATGGACCAGATAATTTTGAAGCTCTCGTGGTATTATCCCCGATAGTTATCGTTAAGCCTCAGTTAAGAGAGTCGGTGTAATCGGGCATTAGGGAAGGTCTGAAAAATATTTTGTGAAGTCCCAGATATCCAAAATTATTTTTTAAAATTAAAAAAAAAAATTACCCACTTACCCCACCTCCACCTAACTTCATACATTTTTTTATCCCATTTTGACGTTTACAAATGACATTATTGAACGCATAAGAATAAAGGTAAGTAGACGTTTATCACCTCAGTGATTTAAAATATTTTTAAGTCACTCCCGGCATTTTTCCTTCTACTTTATTTTTAAAATTTTCACAAAATGGGATAAAATTTTGTATACATCACGTGAGTTAAAATTATTATTCATTCGAAGAAAATGAACCCACTCGCTAGGGCTCGTGGGTTAAACTTTCTTCTCATGAATAAAAATTCATTTAACTCACTTGGTGTATAAATAACTATTATACGTGAATAAGCAAATAAATAAATAAATAAATAGATATTTTTGGGCCTTAAGGCTGGTAGATTTTTAGTGTTGTGTCATCTGTCAATTGTCAAAAAAACCGATTAAAACTAGCATTATAAATTTAAAAAAAGTATGTAACTACCTAATAATAGTACTAAGGTCAAGTTCTGGAAAAGTAAATGAGCTTGAAATTTTTCTCCTTCCTCCCCCCCTAATTTTAACCCCCCCAGAAATGTAAAGTATCTACGCCCTTGACAGGGTACAGGTCAGGGTCCTTATTGTCGAAACCGTGGAGCAGCGTCCTCATGAGAACAAGGGTTCTGTTTTTGTCAGAGTTATGGAAATATGATTATGAGCGACAAAGACAGTACCTTCCTTCTCATGAGAACGCTGCTTCCGTGTTTCAAGAATAAGGACCCTGGCAAGTAAACATCTTTCGGGATTATGGGGCAATTTTAATACAATAGAATGAATTGTCTAGAAAAAGTCTAAGGTTAAATGGAGAAAGAAAACGATTTCCCCTGTTCCACCTCCAGCATGGATCGCGCTTGAAACTTGGAATGCTGGAGGTGGAACAGGGGAAATCGTTTTCGTACTCTATTTGACCTTAGACTTTTCCTAGGCATTTCATTCTAATGCTGTAAAATTGGCCTGTAAGATGTTCACTTGCCAGATCGGTATATTCATCCGCACCTCTTTCAGTTTCAGTTTTGAGAAATGTATGTCGTTACTGCTGACCAGGGTTACTTTGAAAAAACATGAACCTAAGCAATAGACCTATTGCTGAAGCCGAGGCTGAAGCTAAAGCAAAATATCTATTTATTTATTTATTTATTTGCTTATTCACGTATAAAAAAATGTATGAAGTTAGGTGGGGTAAGTGGGTATTTTTTTTTTTTAATTTTAAAAAATAATTTTGGATATCTGGGACTTCACAAAATATTTTTCAGACCTTCTCTAATGCCCGATCACACCGTCTCTCTTACTTAACCCGGAAGCACCAATATTTTTCATCTAATAAAATATTAGTTTTTTTTTTAAATTTTCCTAAAAAAATAGAGATCTGGGGGGGGGTAATTACCCCCCCCCCTCTACCCCCCCATATCTACGCCCTTGTACCCTGTACCTATATCCATCCATGTCTTGGTATTCACGTCAACTTGAGAATTGCAAAACTTTTATTAAAACCCGAGAGAAGTGAAAAGCTGAACTTTAGCTAAAGGTTCATTATGTTTCTCGCAGAGCTAAGATTCAATTGGAAAACTAATAAGGAAATCTTATTTCCGGTTCTACCGAGCTAAGATTTGAGCTGAGAAGAATGAAAATTCTTGGCGCTCCTATTGCTGTAAGTTGAACTTATAGACAAGTATAAAACTTTGATTTTTTTCCATTTAAGAATTAAAGTGCAGCTAGAAGAGAGGTTTATAAAGCTCATCTGTTTTGACTCTCGCAAAGCTTAAATTTAATTGGAAAATTGTGACAATCCTATTCCTAGCTCTATAAGAGTTGGAATTTGAGCTAAAAGCCTAAAAATATTGGCGCTCTAATGCCAAATTTGAACTGAACTAGACAAATGGGATTTCTGATTATTCAAGAAGTATTTAAAGTTAGAGTCAAAAATCTTGTTTGGCCATTGCAAAGCTAAAATTTGATTCACAAAACTGTGAAAATCCTATTCCAGCTCTATTAAAACTAAAAGGACATCGCACACGATTTTCTTAAAAATTTGGTATGTTGTAGTACTAGCAAAAATAAGCATTTTTAATCATTGCAGCAAATCTCTAAGTATACAAGGGTGACCCAGTAAAGTGGGTACGAAAATTATAAAGCAAGTCTTCCAATTCCATCCAAAATACTCTTATCATTTTTTCCGCCATCTCAAATTTTATCGCATTTGTCATTTTTTTAGATTTCATAATTTCATGACATCCCTGGGATAATATAAGCTTTATTTTAAGACCACATTTTCCCATATCTCTAAAAATAAAGGGCGTTTCCATAAGAAAGTGTCCAATTTGGTCCACCCTAGGGTTGCCACCTGTCCGGTTTTCACCCGGACTGTCCGGTTTTTTAAAGGTTTGTCCGGTGTCCGGACGCATGATGAAAATGTCCGGGAATATCTGGATAACTATATAATTAATACTTAACATAAAATTTATAAAGGCGAATGTCGAACGCCTTAGGATATACCCAACTAATTTCTGAACCTACCTACTTCTTGAATGACGGGTGTGTCACGAACGTCTCCGGTTTCCAGTTAGGGACGGAAAAATTGACTTTCTCTGCCTAGGCAGAAAAGTTCGTTGCTATCCATTCAACAAACGTTATCAGCGCAATAATTGATAAACATAAAAAAGTGGATTATGCGTGTTGTAATAAATTCGGAGAAAAAATGGTTTCACATGGCAAAAGATCAAATTTAATGCCTTGGTTGGTTTCCTAGCTTCGCCTTCGGCTATGGAAGTTATGGAACACTAGCCGCGGCATTGAATATTGTGCTTTTCTGCCTAATAAAACAAATAATTATGTATGTATTGTGTCGTTCTGTTCACTTACAAGTGTCTCTGTAACTACGAGGGGTGGCGTTTGAAATTAAGTAGGTAGGTACTTTTTTTAATTTGTTTCTAAAAATTCATTTTACAGATACGAGTGTAAATTATGCTACAAAAAAAAGTTAGCTTCGATTATGTACGGGTTTTCGGAAATCAAAAGGTGGCAACCCTAGTCCACCCTGTGCAGTGTGTCCCATTTTGGTAGTCGATAAGGGATAACTCGGTTGCTATTGGAGTTAGGATGCGGTTTTCGCGAACGTTGGCTACTTTTTTGTCGAACGAAAGTTGGCGCCAACAGAATTGTCATCGCTCTTTTTGTTTTTCAGATACAAGGTGTTTTTGAAAAAGTTGCATTTTGGGACACTCCTTGTATCTCGGTTCTCTCATAAGTGATCGAAAAGGTGACAACTTTCACGTAGCTTCCAGTGGCATAGTCAGTTTTTCTCTAAAAGTGCTAGTTTTTCTCTAAAAGTGCTAGTTTTTTAATTATTAACCAAACATACGTTTTTTCAAATGAGTTGAACAACAGAAGTTTAAAACGTTGATTATGACCATTCAAGAGTTAAATTTGAGCTAGAGAGGTTTAACAAGCTGACGATTGACTCTCCAAAGCTAAAATTCAATTTGAAATTTGTGGAAATCTTATTCTCGGCTCTATTAGAGCTGAAGTTTGAACTGAAAATCATGAAAATTCAATTCTTGGCACACCTAATGCCAATAAAGTTGAACTCGACAAGTGCAAAACTTTGATTTCTGAACATTTAGGAGAAACCTCGTGGGACACCCTGTATAGTCCGTTCATAAAATGTATAGACTTTTTTGAGTGCGTGATCCAAGATTTTGGATGCAGATGGGCTAGATTTTGAATGCTGATGGGCTAGATTTTGGGGGCCTCACTTGGGCCTTGGGTTAATCGTTTAAATAGAGCGCTGGTCGACCTTCCAAGTTTGGCCAATCAGCGTCCAAAATCTCAGATCACGCACTCGAAAAAGTCTATACACTTTAAGAACGGACTTCAGGGCTAAAATTTGAACTGAAAGGCATGAAAATTTCTGAGAAATTTCCATTCTTGGCGCTCTTAAAGCCGAAGTTGAACTAGATGAGTAAAATACTTTGATTTTGACCACTTTTAAGAGGTAGAGTTCAGCTAGAGAGGTTTAAAAGGCTCTTGTTTGGCTTTTGCAGAGCTAAAATTTACTTGGAAACTTATGAACATCTTATTCCTGACTCTTCTAGTTGAGCTTCTAGTCTACTAGAGCTCAAATTTAATCTCGAAAGCTTGATAATTTTTGATGCCAAAGTTAAACTAGACCAAGTCTAAAACTGTGATTTTTGACCAATCAAGAGGTAAAGTTAAGCTGGGTCAAAAAGTTTGTTTGACTATATCGCAGAAGTAAAATTTAATTGGAAAATCGTGAAAATCTGATTCCTGGCTCTACTATAGTCACAGATCTTACAGTGCTCAACTTACAACTGAAAAGCGTGAAAATATTTTGGCGCTCCTATGCTAAAAGTGAAATAGAGAAGAGAAAAACTTTGATTTGATTTGGTTTTAATAATAATTAATGATTTGTTTCTTTTTGTCTTCAGGGAAGGCCTGATGAAATCCACGTGGCAACGCGACCCCAAAAGCCGCCCAACTGCCTCGAGCATAGTCGAGTACATCGCAAACGTTCCTAAACTGCTCAACCCTTGCAAAAACGTGCCGCTGCAATCCATAAAACTGGACGGTGAGGAATTGGATCCGACCCAGGACAACCCGGAAAAACCCGAGAAAAACGGCCGCAATGGTAGCAGGTCGGACATGCGCAAAAGTTCCACAAACAGCAACTTCAGCTCGCCGAAAATTTTGTATATACCGAACAGGGCTGCATCTGCACCACTCACCTGTGAGGACGGCGAAACGTCGTCCATCCTCATGGACGGTGAAGAATCTGTAAGTATACAATTAGAGAATTACTGTCCGAGAGCGCCCTTACTAGGGACCAGTCGGTCGACAAATAGTCTAATCAATTTTGGGAAGTTCAACATGCAAAGCAATAACAGGAGGGACTCGGGATGTCAGGCCGAGGACGAAGGATTTAGTGGCGGAGGCGGCAACGGCGGCAGCCCCGCCAACGGTTATATCAGTAATAGTAAGTTGTAATAATAATAATAAGATAATTTTAAATCCTGGAGGTCGGAGTGATTGATAAATGTGTGATTTTTCTTGCATAGACATTTTAGTTGTTGATGTTTTAATGTAATAGTTTCAATGCAGCATTATCGTTTAACAGCTAAATTAAAAATGTCAAAACACAATAGACTGAATAACTTATAAGCCTCGTAAAATATATAGTTACTCCGGCCTTTGGGAACCCCCCCTTATTTGGGCCTGTAAAGGCCCAATAAACACAATATGGAGACTGAACAAAAAATGAAAACCCACTGAAATAATATACCCTCTTGAAAAATAATCTATATTTTTGACTATAAATAGTTTGTATTTTTATATAGCGCAATTAGTTGTTGAAAATTTTATTCAACAATTTTCTTGAATAAGGTTTTTGCAAAGTATCGGACATCACGTTTGTATATTTCGTTTTATGATAATTTAGTAGTGCATTTTAACACTTTTATTATGTATATGTGTATATTTGTTTTTGTTATAATTATCCAATGCAATATTAATGTGTACATATTAGGTAATTCTCTATCGCGGTGCATAATCTGAGCTTGTCATTACGCAGCGGTAGGTTTTGAAAGTAAAGAGCAACTGTATAATTGACTGGGAAGTGTATGTAAATATAATTAAATTTTATTTATTTTTTGATTATAGAGGGTGTTGAAGATTTGATGGATAAAGGCTTTGAATTATGACAAAGGGTAATTAATGTTATTTTTGGATATGAGTGATTTTTCTTGGACCATGCCAAGTTCCACTGACTTGATTTTCCATAAGAAAAAATCGTACGGGGTTAGGTCTGGTAAGCTTACAGGCTGTAGTAATGCAAATACCTCAGAAATAATACTTTAATCGGCAAAATCAAGCATAAGATTAACTTGATGACACACAAATACAGGTGGACATTTAGAGCTCTTTCAAGTTTCATCAGTTGGTATTGGCAGATGCTGTAGAGGTTCAAGTCTTGCATGATCATCAGGTTTAAGTGTTCTGTTTCCTATAAGATACAGTAATTACAATCAATTATTTACGCGCCAAAATTTAAATACCTCCAAGTACAGAAGCGCCCTCTTCAACTCAACTGTCAATATTAAATGCCATTCATTTGAATGGTAACTCTGCTCATGTTTTGTTATTTGTCTACTATAGAACCCAACCTGTTCCAAATTTCCATCTCCTTACCATTGCAGCAAAATACCTCCAAGGCCTCGACTGGAAGCGTCTATATGGAGTTCACTCTGTAACTGTGCGGGTTGTAAATAGCTAGAATAGGTCGTTTTGTTAAATGGTCTTTGACAAGTTGGAAAGATTGTTGTTGTTCTGCTTCCCATGTAAAAGCCTCATTTTTCCTTGTTAACGTTGTTAATGGGCGAGCTACTTAGGCAAAGTTTTTCACATATTTCCTAAAATAGCTTGCGAGTCCTATAAATTGGCTTACTTCATGGACATTTCTTGGAGTTGGAAACTGTTCCACTGCATTAGTTTTCTCTGACCCAGCACGAATTCACTCTGCACTCATTTCATGCCCCAAATAATCAATTTCGTTTTTATAAAAATGACATTTATTCAACTCGAATGTTCCTGCAAAAATTCTAAATGCTTCAAAGATTTCTTTTAATGCTTCTAAGCCAGAATCAAAATTAAAACTTGGCAGGAGAATGTCGTCAAGATAAGCTAATGCAGTTGTAATGATTAATAGTTCCTAGAATCTGGTTAATCATTTTATGGAAAACGTCAGGAGCATTTACCAATCCGAATGGCATACGCAAATATTCGTACTGCCCTTCTGGAGTAACGAACGGTGTTTTCTGTTGTGACTTTTCAGATATGGGAATTTAGTGATACCCACTGGCCATGTCGAGAGAAATGACGTAGGTACCTGGTATTTGAGAGCATTTTTAAATGATCATCGGGTCTTCCCATGGGCTAACAGTCTTTAATATATTTCGAGCTCATAGTTCTGGCAATCACTGTAACCTAATGGGTCATTAGGTACACAAGGAGTTGCTCTGGAAACTAACTGTTTCTCGTTGAAACTTATCGTCTCTTCAGACAAATTAAAAATTTTGCAGTAGCACAGAATCAGTGGAAGTAATACATCTCGGAATGCTATATTCATCCTGTGCTTTGAAGCACTGACGTAGGTCTACAAACATTTCACCCTTATAGTCTCTACTTGAACGGCAGCTAAGTATGCCAATGTGGTGTGGTGTTAGTGGTACTTTGGTGGCTTTCTTGCAAACTAACTCAACGGTTGTCGTAGGTAGTTCGTCAACCTCAGGTAGGGAAGCCATTTCAGTACTAAACATTCTTAGTTCTCCATCTCGCATCACGAGCACGGCCCTGGTTTATGTTCTATTTTTCTTGAGCATGAATTCTTTTGTGGTCTTGTAGGTATATTTCCTACGTTTACGGGTGACCTGGACCTGGATAGTTTTTCGTGTATTTCTCTGCAATATTGTTCCTGTAACTGAGCTGCTCAATCACATATTAACACAGATAGACAACACAGTGAACAAAATTTTGTGTCGCCAACATCTAGGAGAGCAATCCACCATCGGTGTATCCCCTCCAATTTGATTGCAAAATTCTTAGGGATTGATATTTTATCCTGATGACTTTGCTTCAAAAAATTGGAGAATCAAAACTAAAAACGACTACTGGCAACGTCGTTTTGTAAAACAGGCGGAACACACGCTGCAACTGATTGGCATGTCGACGCATCCATCCATTGAACTTATATCATCATATGAGTTGCACCCGTGACATTTCTTCATTATGTTGGTCAAGTGAATGATGGGTTCAGAGGGTAAAGCGGGTGTTGCTTACACCACTGATGCATCCCTACCATGACCTCCCTCGAGCAGCTCACCTCTCCTGGCTCATGAGGGGTCTTGCCATCGCAATAAACTTCATTTTATGAATGAAATGCGGTGTCTATCTGTGCTTGCTAAGGTATCATTGGAGCTGCCAAAACCCATTCATTTTCTATGACGTTGACAGTTAGCATCTGGGCGTCTGTAGAGTCCATCATTCGCGTTAGCAGGATTGCGACTTGGCGCATCTACGTGACTCATCTTTGTTCCTGGTCTATACTCAATGGTAAAATCAAACCCTTGCGTACTCAACCACCATTTGCCAATACGAGGGATCAAATTTCGCTTGGTTAGCGTCGTTCTTAAAGCATTACAATCCAATGCCAACAAGATAAACCCTGAACTTTTTTAATGAACATACAACAGCTAAAAGTTTCTAGTTCATACGAGTGGTAGACCTGTTCTTCTTTTGTCGTTACCTAAATGCTAAGATACTGGACTGGTTTAAGTTGCCCATCGCTCTGTTTTTGAAGTAGAATACCTCCTATTCCCCATTTTCTGACGTCCGTATGCATTCGGTGACAGCATCTCTATCATAGATGGCTAAGGTTGGGCGTGTTGTCAGTTTTTGTTTTAGTTCATCGAAGTTGTTCATCGTTCCAGACAAACACAGAGTTTTTCTGGTGAGATTGGTTAAAGGTTTTGCGATAAATGCAAATTCCTTCACGTAAAAATTGTCTTACTGAGTGAACACCTCCAGGAGCTGGAAAGTTCGCGACAGCTTATTCTATTTTCTCTTTGCCAGGTTTAACGCCTTCTTGGGAAATTTCGTGACCTAAATAACTAATTTTTGACCTTAAATACCCACACTTATCGAATCGTAATGTTATACCTGCATCTTGTATCAATGCTAGTACGTTTTCTAATTGTACAAGCCCGCTCTCAACGTCTTGAGATGGTATCAGAATATCATCAAGATATGCTATGCCATAGCGGTAGTATACCTAAAAGAGCCCAAAATGTTATGAGTTGTCCGTTGGAAAACTGCGGGAACGTTTACTAAACCGAATGGCTTCGCCAAATACTCATAATGTCCATCTGGCGTTACAAATGCGGGCGTAAAGTTTTGCAACCCGTTAATTTATCTAAAAGGTCGTCAATTCGTGGCAATGGGTATTTTTCTTTAATCGTTTTTCTGTTCAACGCTCGATAGTCGACGCACATACGCGTTTCTCCGTTCTTTTTACACATTAATAATATGGGGCTGGTGTATGGCGAGGATGATTCACGAACTATATTATTATCGATCAAATCATCAACTATGATAATATAATGATAATATGTATGGTTTATATGTAACAGGTTTATCATCAGTTAAATGAATTGATATTTTGGCCAGAACCGTTCTTCCAGACTTCGCTTAAGCTAGTAGCAAAACAACCCGCATACTTATTTAAATCGGAAAGAGTAAAACTAGAAAACGAACTTTGATTTATTGAGAGACACTCAAGGTACTTTTCGTTTTCTGCGGTAGGTACATGTAATAGCCCTAGCCACTAGACGACCTTTTTCATAACAAACTTCGTTTTCTGAAATATTAAGGATTAGCAAAACTCCCTCTTTGGTGGCGTTGGTGACACATCGAGGGATTAGGTGATACTTATTATATGCTGTAAATCAATGAAAACATCATTACATTGCTCTGTTGTAGAAATTGGCATATGGGCTATATGGTGTGGAGACATTACTATAGCTTCTTTGTCCCAAAGAGTAACTTTCCGCAGTGGTAGAGAGTCAATTTCTTGTAGTGGTTCTTTGTCTACATCAAATAATCGAATTTAGTAGTGTAAGTTGCAGGTTCTAGATCCTAACCAATCACAATGCAGCATTGTGTACCAGCGCGAGGTGAATGGTGACGGTCGTGTGACGCGAACCGCGTGTGGCGTCGCGCAGCCGGCTGGCGGTAGGGAAAGGTTTTTGGGTGTCGATGGACGAAGGATCAGTCGATGGATATTGATGCAGACGCCAGTCAGGAATGTATTTTATTGAATAAGGATATTTAATAAAAAATTGGATTTTTCGTAAAGGTTAAGGTTTTGTGGATCAAATAAAACCAAAAATATTTAGAGGTTACTTTCTTCAAATCAGTATTATTTTAAAAATTTGTTATTCTTATCTAGTCTAGAATCATAATAAGATTTGATATTTTCATGCCATTCTCAAAATCTGAGGCAAAAGTTCATTAAAACCTAAAATTCGAAATTCTAGTATAGTTAGATGTCAGCCTTAAATTTGGGGTTGGCCCGGGTCAAATACCCGAAATTTCAGATCAAAGGCGCCGCAGATTCAGAGATTTTCCCACGGTATCGAAAAAATTCCCAGGCTCAGGTGCCCCCCGTTACCATCAATTTGGGAGTTTGTCAGAGTATTTATTTTTACTGCGACACACAAGATGAACACTCCTCAACTTTAACAATTTTTTCCTAGTTCTCATCACATTTAACACAATACAATATGATGAGTGTAATCTGGTTCATCATACAGTAGCTTTTTTGTATATGGAGACCTTTTCAAGACGATCAAGTGGATAAATTCTTTGGCCACAGTCTAAACATAGCTCAATTATTCCTTCCCGATACCCTTCATACGTTAAACCCTCTTCGTTATTTGGACATCTTTAAGAGTTTTCATGCATTTCTCAAAATCTGAGGCACAAGTACACTAAAACCTAAAATTCGAAATTCTAGTAGGTACAGGTAGTTAGATGTCAAACACTTATTTTTCATTAGGCTCAAACAGAAAGTGAAAAATCAATTTGGGAGTTAGTCAGAACATTTATTTCTACTGCCGACACACAAGATGAACACTCCTCAACTTTAACAATTTTTTCCAAATTTTCGTCACATTTAACGCAATACAATTCGTGAGTGTGATCTGGCTCATCAAGCAGTAGCCTTTTGTGTATGGAGACATTTTCAAGACGATCAAGTGGATAAATTCTTTGGCCACAGTCTAAACATAGCTCAACTATTCCGCCCCGATACCCTTCGTTATTTGGACATCTTTCGGAGAAATAATTTTCATAGGTTCTGACAAAAATCAACATAGTTGGTTATGCGGCATAAATCTCTCTGCAATGTAAAATATTATATTAGTCACGGCTACTAGTTAAATAACCAAATATACAGTTTATATTTAGTTAGTTCAGTTAATCATCAAATTGTTGCCATCTAAAACATAAAAGTAATGAAAATGAATGAACGTTTGTCTTCGTTAGTCTGTAAAAATGGAACTAACAGCAACTCTACCACAATAGGAAATAATGGTGTAGCCTCGAAACCTGCTGATTACTTAGTCTATATTTGCGTAATAACTGTTTCTGTAATTTTTGGAATTTAGATGTCCAAATTGATCTATGATATAGGAAAAAAACAATGTACTTCAAAATTTATTAAATAAGAATTTATCGGTGAAAAGCTGTTTTATTTGGAATTTTGAGAACATTAGAAAACGACCAAATCAAATTATGATTCTGATTATAATTTTTCAATGAAGTTCACCACTAAATATCTGTGTCAGATCCCAAAAACCTTTCTCTTACCGCCGCCAGCGCGACGCCACACGCGGGTCGCGTCACACGACTGTCACGGTTCACCTCGCACCGGTGCATCGCGAAAAAAAAACAAGCGTCTGCGGATCACACGGGGGCAACGCCACGAATACAGCGTCCATAACGTTTTTGCTCCTTGTTTATTGACGCCTCCACCTCCTTGTCCTGAATCCTGATGAATATTTATTATTGTTATATTCTAGGATTATTTTGCAATTTCCATTTCGTAAAATATCGATTATTATCGATAATATTTAACTAAAAATTTTAGAAAGACTGATAAGAATTAATTTTTTTGGGATGGGGTATCAAGCCCAAGCCAGAACCCGGGTAGGTACAAAAAAATAATTGATAAGTCAGGTGGAATAATCCAATGATACATGGCCCTTCGCCGTCCACAGTTGATTTGTAGGCTGTATCACAATTAAGCTGTTTCTGTAAGATTTTGAAAGACACAGTGTTTAATCTAGATTGTTAAATAATAGCTATTTATATAAATAGCATTAAATAACAAGTAGGTACCTACAATAAAGAAAGGCTTATTGTACGAATAATTTTATGACCGAGCGAGCTTGCGAGCGAGGCTATTAAATAATAAGTCAACCCTCAATAAAGCCTGTTTATGTAAGCGTAATAGGTACCTACATAAGGTAAATTTAATGCGTTTATGTAAATTTCCATCTTGGTGATAAATAAAATAAATAATTATTGTACCATTTTTCCTTTCAACAGTTTAAACAGTTCATTTTATAAACTGTGCTCTGATGGTATCTTTTGCTCTAATTTTCTTTTCCACTCAAAAAAGTCTTCCTTATTATTAAATGTTAAATTCTTGGGGTCTAAGTTGTTTCCGTGAAAATTTTTATAATATGTAAAACAATAATGTCTTTGCTGTCGGTAATAAAATCACAGTTTAATGGGCATCTTATGGACTTCATTATTTTTGTAGATGTATTTTTGTTGTGAATTGTGCTCTCCATGTGTTTTTTTAGGTGATAATTGCTCGAAAACTCCCTCTCATGTCATTGATAATGATAATAAGACAAACTATCGAATTATAATTAATAATTTTGTGTCAAATAAATAAAGAGGCGGTAAACAAAAATGCTAGTGAACCTCCGTTTGTCGCGTCGCGCCAAATTTTAAAAGTTTCGTTCGTACACTTTCGATCATATTCGTGGCGTTGCCTCCGTGTGATCCGCAGACGCTTGTGAAAAAAAATGCTGCATTGTGATTGGTTGGGATCTAGAAGCCGCAACTTACACCACTGAACTTATCCCCCGCGTACTACCATGGTGAGGTGACATTAGGGTGATTAACAAAAGGCTGCCCAACTATGAAGGATACTTCGTTGGGCTGAATCAGGTTCAATAAGTGCTCCAACAAAACTTGCTGCTAAATATACCTGAAGGGTAATGAAGCTTAATTTTACCTGGACGAGGCATAGGTTTAATGGCCATTTGCACGGCTATCACTTAAGGGATATTTAATCTAAATGGAGCTTTGAATGTGACTTTTGTTTCTACAATTGCCAGCTTCACTTGTATCAAATATCCCTTAAGTTATAGCGGTGCAAAGCCCTATAGTCGACACGCATACGTTGTTCCCCATTTTTTTTTCTCGACTAACAATATGGTCCTTCCTTAATCCTTAAGGAGATCATCGACTATGCTTTTGACAACATCTCTTTCTGCGTATGACAACCGATAAGGACGGTATACAAATGGCTTGTCGTCGATCAAATGTATTGGCATCCTAATAACATCAGTTTTACGTAAGGGTCATTTACACTTAACTTAACGTACGGGAAATTAATAATTAAGAAAAGTTGAAGATCATGTACTTGTAGAGATCCACCTAAGTACTCTTTTAATTAATTCATATTTTGATAAATAAACCCTTTTTTATCAAAATAAATTCAAATGTCAATTCACTCGGAAAATCAAATAAATTTTTAGTAAAGTTTCTTAGACAGTTCTCTTAAAATCAATTCACTAATAGATAAATACTAAAGTCACAAATTTCTACATGTACTCACAATTTGCCCTTAGATACACAAACGATCAAAATTACTTTCAGTTACTTAGCAACAAACAAACAAAGGAAAACCTGTTAGTACTTTGTGACTCTTACTGGACAATAGTCAGTCGCAAACTTTGTTTTGCCCGAGGCAAAACAAGGATAAAAAAAAACTTTTTGGTGGAAACTCACTGCCAATTTTCTTGATTCTAAAAATCTTACCATCAAATCAACTGCTGGATGTTATCTTCTATCTTTTTTTCTGATTGTAACCTGCTTAAATAGTACTCAATTCCCACCAAAAATCTGTTACGTGGGCGGTCATTTAGCATTTCTCGAACCAATCCTCTCATTTGACCTCGTTTATCGAGTGATAAACGACATTGTGGTTTTCCAAGGATTGTTTTTACTTAGGATATGATGCAACATCCGGCGGAAACACCGGTGCTGTAGTTTATCAGTTATGAGGCAATTGAATCACATGAGTATAGTGATTTCCGGTTAAACGCGTCTTAATTTTATAATCTTTTATCTATTTTTTTTTTGTTTATCCGTATGTCGCAAGAGTCTATTGATTGGGGACATCGAACTCTGACATCCGGTCGCTTATCGCTTGTGTTGGAGAAAAAATTGTTATGTAATTTGAGTTGAGCTTAGAAATTTCGTCATTTTTTATTTATACTATTTTTATACGGAATTAGATGCTGAATTGCTAGGAGATTCAATAAGTTGAGATTAAATTATCTTGCAACTGACGTAGATACTTTTCTTATTAAAATGACTACAAAAATGCTTTTACCAATTGAGCTAGTTATATTTTCTGGGATTTTAGCACTTCGAAATTTTTGGGGTCGCCACAATACAAATTCCCTCAATGTAATTATCAGGAAATTTGATTGTTTCCAAAATAACATTGATACACATTTTGCCTCACAGCTTTGTTAATTTCAATCCGATCTTAATGTAATTATAGGCTGAAATTGAGGCCAATTCAATCCTCCATAAATCTTTGTTCAATAGTTTCACAGCTGCGAAATTTCAAATCAAAGTCTTTCCAATTAAAACCGATAAATCTAAATCTAGTAGCTACAATTATTGTAGGTACTTAGTATGATGAAATCAAATGATTTAATACAATGGTTAAACTCAACACCCTCTATAATAATCCACATCAACCATATAAAAGTGTTAAAATAACGAGCATTTATGCGCATTATATATGATTTTTGTGTTAGTAGTACAATTGAAAATGTTATTAGCAAATTTGTGTTACAATACTTAGTTAATTTTACCAATCGAAAATATGTTAGTTAATTTTATCTAGTCATGGGATAAATCGTTTATTTTATCCTGTAATATAGGTATTAAACGCATCACCACGATAGCATCACATTTAAATCAAATATTTTAGTTTTTAGGTAGAAATATTATAGGTAATTTTTTTTTTCGCTGTATTTGTGTGACTCAATTGACTGTTTTTTAACTAGGCGAATTTCTTAATAGGTACCCATCTTTATAAGTAAATGAACATGATAACTATTGTATAAGAGGTATTTTTCAATGCTATCTATATCATCAGAAAATACCTACTTGTATTTTTTTTTTAGATATTGTACAGTAAGTACACGATAAGCATTTTATAACGTTTTACATGTTCTAAGCTAAATCCTATCGTATTTGTGGAATCCAAAAGGTAATCTTCATTTTTGTCACACAAATCAGTCCATTATAAGCATTTTTGTTTAATAAATGTCGGTGTATTTTAAATTATTTGATTGATATAGTATTTACAAAGTCAGTTGAAACAAGGTAAAGGTAATTTTTTACTGGTGGCTGCCTAGTGGCAGTGCATTTCTTATGAAAATATTCAGTCACCAGTTGTAATCCACCTTTACCTTGTTTCAACTGACTTTGTAAATACTATACCAAAATGAGGCTTTGTAATGGCCAAAAAATTTAAGATTCATCAACCATTTCTATAAGTAAAATTTACATGATTGTAAACCGACACACACGACTGAGGTATTCTGCCAATAGATTATATTTCTTAAATTAATTTTTGTAAATATAAATTGGGGCTAATTGGATGCAAATCTCACCAAACTCCATGACTGTTATGTTCCTAAGTAATGTCATTATTTGTTAATTAGTGTGTTTAGTTTTTTTGAATATTGGGTGGGCCATTGCATTGAAAATTGTTGTATTTTTTATTTGCCCACTCACTATTATACTACTTATCATTACATAACTAAATATACATAGCGCATTTTTCCTTATATAATTACTAATATTAGATTATTATTATTGTAATGACGGGTAGTTATGTGCAATTAGTTTAAATCAATTGTTCTTTTTTTTACTTTTTAAGGAATCCCAAAAAACGCACCATATATATTTATGTAATGTAAGGTCCTGTGTACATATAGTTGCTTAGGGAGAAAAAAGATTTGAGGTCTTTTTTTGTACCTGACTTAAATAATTTTTGTATTTCGTCCAAATATTTTTTTTTTAACTGTAGATATAATTTATTTTGTGGACTATTTTTTCTTTTGAAAAATAAACGATTTTATAATTTGTTTTGGTTCTTTATATTTTCTTTTCTTTTGTTTGCTATATCTTCAATACAGTTTCGTTCACCAGACCAAGTTACTCAATGTTAGAAAAGGGTGGCTTTTCTAACACAAGCAGACAAGTACAGCCCGTCAATTTCAATTTGATACTCCAAAGGAATGTGAGCTGTGTTTTTGCCATATGCTTCACCCCTCGCTTCTCATACGGAAAGTGTCAGATTAAAAACGATGGACAATAGGTAGGTATGCGGTTTGTGGTGTATTCGAGCCCTATCGTCTCCTATGACAAATAATATAAATTTGTTTAGTTCCTCAAAGAATGAAGAAAATGAAATCTTAGTAACCAAAAGCAATGAGAGCTGAAGGAAAAGAGAAAATGATAAGTGAAAAATGTGTTTTAAACAATGTTACATATTTATGTGATAGAACTTTCAAACAAAATGTAGTAATAAATTTTCAGGGAATTATGGTCTTCCACTAGGATAAGAACCCG